TCACACCAGTTGAGTAATTTCGCCCTGTTTGATTTGCCATGAAAACACTTTGGACTTTGATAAAAGGACCAACATTTGGTTACTTTCTTTTCCATTTTCAGAACTGCGTTGGATGATCACTTAGTAAATGCATAAGTGCAATGCTTGTGGTTCTTATGGGGAAAAAAAAGACATTGATTATTCTATAACAAAATGTGGAATATGTAACAATATATTTGGAACAGATTTTATAAGGAAGTAATTAGATAACACAATAAATATTGATTCATGAATGCATTTTTGATTAATGAATAAGTTAATCTATTACCATGAGTTATGCTATTAGGAAGAAAAAGTACAAGCATGAAAACATGCTGATACTAGATTGACAGTGTGTAAATAGATTATACTACAGTAAGTAACCCTGACACAAGAAATGTATATACTTGCTCTCAGTAAAATTTATACTAGTTCAGTGTAACCTCTTGGTATAGAGATTTTGTAGTAATTCACTAAAAGCAATAAGCTATCTTTGGTACTCTTGGGATATTTGCTATGGTTTTTCACTATTTTAGTTTTATAATTTGCTGGATTTATTTTTCTGTCTTTAATTGCTAAGTGCCAGTTGAAGGGGTCCAGACAGTGATGCTGCAAGATTTCAGAGAAAAGGCCTCCATTTACTAGGATATTTGTGGAAGAAGTGAGATTATCTGCTTTGTTGTGGTTCAGTTGCTTAGTCATGTCTGATTCTATGTGACTCCATGGACTGCAGCACGCCAAGCTTCCCTGTCCTTCAATATCTCCTAGAGTTTGCTCAAATTCATGTCTACTGAGTTGGTGATACTATCTAACCACCTCATCTTTGCTGTCCCCTTCTCCTTTTGCCTTCAGTCTTTCCCAGCATCAGGGTCTTTTCCAAATGAGGTGTCTCCTTGCATTAGGTGGCCAAAGTATTGGAACTTCATCTTCAGCATTAGTCCTTCCAATGAATATTCAGGATTGATTTCCTTTAGGATTGACTGGTTTGATCTTGCAGTCCAAGGGAATCTTCAAGAGTCTTCTCCAGCACTGAATTCAGAAACATCACAGGAGGCAGTGACCAAAACCATCCCAAAGAAAAAGAAATGCAAAAATGCAAAGACAACAAAAAAAGGTTGTCTGAGGAGGCTTTACAAATAGCTGAAGAATGAAGAGAAGTGAAAGGCAAGAGAGAAAGAGAAAGATATTAGAATCTTATTAGGATTTTATCTTAAATCTAGGAATCTTACCTTAAAATTGCACATGAATTCTGTTTTCTACTTCATAAATCCACTTCATATAAAAATAGTTATTTCCTCCCTAAAACAAAAAAGTGATATTCCTGGGAGATGTGTCATGTTAATCCCATGGACTTGCATTTGTCATTTAGCTGTGCCTTCATAAGAATGTGTGCCCCAATTACAGGCGCATAAGCCTACAAAGCAAGATCCAGATCTCTTCCAGGTATTCAGGGTTTCCAAAACCTGACCCCAAAATACTTGTTTAACCATTTCCTGCCCAACACAAACCCTCGGCTCTAATCAAAATTATTTATTTCAAAACCCTGCTGTATACTTTCCTAATGCCATTTCATTTATCTAGAATGCCTCTCTAAACCTTTCTGCTTGGCAAGGTCCTATATATACTTCAAGGTAGCACAGGAAGACTGTACCACTTATACTATGACATGAGAGTCATATAATTAATTTTTCTTAAACTAGGTTATCGTATGATAGATCTCCCTTTAGAATTGGGGTTCTTAGTACCCTTTGGCAGTCCTGCGAATCCTCTGGAAGTATGGTAGTGCCATTAAGGCACATAAAGAAATGAGAATGGAAGAAGTGAAAGGGAGGAGCAGCAGAGGCAGTAAGGTTTTAATGGGTTTGTTATTTAATAAGTTGAGTTTGAAGAGGCTATAGGATATCAAAAGGAGAAATGGCAGGTGGCAGTGGAAGAAGGGGAAGAAGGGGAACTGGAGAGAGAGAGACGTAGATTTGGGAAATTTATTCATGGAAAATAAATGAATCCTTGAGAGAAGATAGAATTTCTGAGGTCCGAAGAGATGTTTGAATATTGTACATGGGTCCACAGTGCTAAATACTGGGAAGAAGTCGGGCATTAAAGATGGACTCGGACTTCCCTGGCAGTCCAGTGGCTGAGACTGCGCATTTCCACTGCAGAGGAAGTGCAGAATCTGCATGCTGCGCTGGCTCAGCCAGAAACAAAAGCAGGCATGGAGAGTAGTGGTACTGCGGAAGCAAACTAGCTGAAGGTCAAGTTTGAGAGGAGAATATTGTTATTAGTAAATAGCAAAGAAATCAAAGGGGATGTGGACTGAGAGGTCACTGGATTCGACAGTTGTGTTAGTGGTGCAATTAGAACCCTTTTGGCAACTTAGTGAGGCCCGAGGACATAATTTTGTGAAGCATAAAGAAAAAAATCCTTTCTCTAACAGAATTCTCTCTCAATCTGAGCTTTATATGCAGGGAAAAACTCAGTATTCCTGAAAGAAACAAAATGCAGCACATTGTGTAAGAATTTTTAAAAACTGGAAAACAGAAAAAAATGTTATATTAAATAACATTATTTTGCATTTGAAAGCTTCCTACTTTTTGGGCGAAAAAGGCCATTTTGGTACTCTTGCTTTCAAAGGTAAATTTTGACAGCTTGAATGTGGTTCTGAAAATGAAAATTCCTGCCTTTTTGTATTTTTTGAAACAAAATATTTGTGTAGGATCCACATAGATCATAAATATTGGAATTGTCATATACTTAAAATATATATTGAACAATTTAAAATACATAATGGTGAATATTTTTTGATTAGTGTGAGTCACTACATAACTTGGACACAACAACTATGGAAAATTTTTAAAGAGATGGGAATATCAGATCATCTTACCTGCCTCCTGAGAAACCTTATGTAAGTTAAGAAGCAACAGTTAGAGCCAGACATGGAACAATAGACTGGTTCAGAATGGGGAAAGGAGTACATCAAGGCTGTATATTGTCACCCTGCTTATTTAACTTATATGGAGAGTACATCATGCAAAATGCTGGCCTGGATGAAGCACAAACTGGACTCAAGATTGCTGGGAGAAAATATCAATAACCTCAGATATGCAGATGATACCATCCTTATGACAGAAAGTGAAGAGGAACTGAAGAGCCTCTTGATGAGAGTGAAAGAGGAGAGTGAAAAGCCTGGATTAAAACTCAGCATTCAAAAAATGGAGATCATGGCAGCTAGTCTCATCACTTTATGGCAAATAGATGGGGAAACAATGGAAACAGTGAAAGACTGTTTTCTTGGGCTCCAAAATCACTGCAGATAGTGATTGCAGCCATGAAATTGAAAGACCCTTGCTCCTTGCAGAAAAGCTATGACCGACCTAGACAGCATATTAAAAAGCAGGGACATTACTTTGTCAACAAAGGTCTGTCCTGTCAAAGTTATGGTTTTTCAGTAGTCATGTATGCATGTGAGAGTTGGACCATAAAGAAGACTGAATGCCAAAGAATTGATGCTTTTGAACCACCACAGTGTTGGAGAAGACTCTTGAGAGTCCCTTGGACAGCAAGAAAATCAAACCAGTCCATCCTAAAGGAAATCAGTCCTGAATATTCATTGGAAGGACTAATGCTGATGCTGACGCTTCAGTCCTTTGGCCACCTAATGGGAAGAGCCCACTCATTAGAAAAGACCCTGATGATGGGAAAGATTGAAGGCAGGAGGAAAAGGGGATGACAGAGGGTGAGATGGTTGGATGGCATCGCTGACTCAATGGACATGACATTGAGCAAGCTCCAGGAGATGGTGAAGGACAGGAAACGCTGGCATGCTGCAGTCCATGGGGTTGCAAAGAGTTGGACATGACTGGGTGACTGAGTGACAATGATGAAATAACTTCGGGACTATCCTTTTTTTCTTTTTTTTTTTTAAATTAGTCTTTAAAAATTGACTTTAATTCAAGATTTTATTTCTCTGATGGTTTCTTTAGAAACTTAAAAAAAATAAATACTGACAAGTGATGATTATGGTCAGAATATCCTCTAATAATCCTTGAGTATTTAGAATTTAAATTATTTAAATTATAGATAGCATAATCATACTCCTATTAGATGTCAATAAAAAACTACAAGAATGTAAATGTAAATGTCTGTAATCTAGAGGACTGAGTCTTTAATAAATTTGGAAATGTTAACATTCCTCAGAATGTTTATTTAATCTTTCAGTAACTTTTTATGATTCTTAATTCTCTTTGAAAACCTCCAAATTAGTATTAGACTCACACTGTGTCCAAGAGAAATAAATTATTAAACTTTAATTTGATGCCACAAACACATTCTTTCTTACTGTATTTTGACAAGATCACCTTAAAGTTATTTGTTTTTCACAACATTAGGAGTTAAAATATGTGTAGAGTCCAGACAGAATGCCATGCGGGAGACCCTGGTTCGATTTCTGAGTCAGGAAGATCTGCTGGAGAAGGGACAGGCTACCCACTCCAGTCTCCTTGGGCTTCCCTGTGGCTCAGCTGGTAAAGAACCCACCTGCAATGAGGGAGGCCTGGGTTCCATTCCTGGGTTGGGAAGATCCCTTGGAGAAGGGAACGGCTACCCTCTGTAGAATTCTGGCCTGGAGAATTGCATGGAATGTGTAGTCCATGGGGTGGCAAAGAGTGGGACATGACTGAGCGACTTTCAGGAGTTAAAATATGTGTAGAGTCCAGACAAGTTAACAAATAAGGTACAATGATACTTGATATTTAAAGTCAGTATGACTTAGCAGTTATGATCTGCTATATTTAACAGTGTGAGCCTATTTCAATACAGTATTTCATCCTGCTTCATTTGGCTTCATAAATAAAGCATACCAAACATTTACTCCAAATTATTTTGTTACAAAATTATTATCAATTTTAAAACCCATGTTACCGATTTTTACATGTACTCTCAACTTATCTTAGTTTTGAAGTTAATATTACATCATTTAATAATTGTACAGTTATTAATTGCTTATATTTATTCAAGTTTAGAATTTTAGCAAGAATAGTATTTTTTTAACTGAGGATGTTGTGCAGTTAGCTAACATGATGACTTGAAACTTAAAAAAAATTTTTATGTTGTTTATTTAGGACGGTTATTTGAAATTTCATCCATTGGTTAAAATTTAGATCGTGACCTTCTAAAATTTGATTCACACATCACAAAATACATGAATAAATGATTGTCATAAAATTTTGATTGAGAAAGGTAAATGGTGTTCTTTGAAGTGATGTGATGATATGTTTAATATTAAGTTGGTAGTGGCTTTAATATAAAGAATTTATTTCTAAGCCTTCCATTAGGGGTTTAATACTGGATTTCTAAACCATTGTAATGTTTAATTTATTGGCTTTTAAATTTGCCTCAGTTCATTCAGGGTTTTCTGAATCTGACGGATGTATCAGCATTTTGGTTGCTTTGATGGAGTACAGACTTCCATCTTGAGACTTCCAGCATATTCCTCCTTTCCTCTCTGGCTTAGCTTTCGCTTTTGGCTTGCTGTATTTACCATTTAGGTTGTTTTCCCCACATACATCATGGCACCACCAGCCTCCTAAAAAGGATAGATACACAGTTTAATAGATACAGACTCATATACAGTTGCTGTTATTATATTTACCCGGTGAGCACATCTTCAGTTATATGCATATTTTCCACTTTTAAATGATTTATATGTCTCATATATCTGATCAAAAATAAAATATCTGAAAAAGGTTAGAGGTAAAATACATAATTGAACTAGAATCAAATTACCACGTTTGTTACGAGACATTTACGTATAGGGAAAATGTTTATTTTGGAGTCATATTTTAAAGAGTTGACATTGAAGATACTAGCTATTACTCTGGAAAGATATTTTGAAGATATGAAAATAAAGTTTTGATATTAGGAAGAGGATACCTGAATTACTTTCTGGACAGTTGAAATGTCCTTTTGCTTTGTGATCCCAAGTGGAAAACATCAAGTCTTTGTGTTCCGGAAATGCCTTGGGGCCATTGCCAGAAATCTCAGCTAGATGTAGTGTATAGTTGGTTTCATGATCTCCCAAGTGAAAAGAATATTCAGTATAATACTTGTCTTTCCAGTCTTCTAGCTCGATTCGTAGGATATAGTTAGATTGCTTTACTATGGAGTATATCTTTTCTAAACCCAGCCAAAATTCTCCTGAAAAAAGAAGTTGTAGAAATCTGTGGACTGTTAATTGTAGATGAGGCAGTGACCATTTATTTTGAGAGGTTTTTTTTTTTTCTTTGCTGTAAGTAGCTTAACTGTTTTCATCTTGAATCCTTTGGTTATTTTAGAGTTTCTTAAAATATTTATTTTAAAAACAGTTTTATTGGAGATCGTTATATTTACAACAACTATGAAAATATTAATGGGCCTAACTAGAGTCTGATTATCCTTTCTAAATTGGATATTATCAGGCTTATTTCACAGGTGAAACCTATTAAACTATTATAAGTATTTATAGGGCTGGTCATTGGTAAAATGTTATCTAACTTCTGGGTTCTTAGGTATACTGGCTTTATAATCAACTGTTTTTTTTTTTTTTAATACCCATATACTATGAAGAGATTTGTTAAGTATTTCTAGAGACTTGGATAATAATGTTATTTTCCTATCATATAGTCTTGACCTTTGATATTTTCTTGGTATACATGTTTTCTTTGTAGAAAAAGAAGGAAATAAAAAAAATTTTAAATAAAAAACATTATTCTTAATAACTTTTTGCTGTAGTTTAAAAATTTTTATTTGGAATGAAAAACATAAATACAAATAGTTCCTTTAATTATCACAATTGGTCTCTTTAATTATCCCTTTTGTTAAAGCATTTAAGGGAAAAAAGTCAGAATTTCTTTCCTGCTGTTGAATCAGTGTATTTAATTTTAAGAATTGCAGACTACAAGTGGCTTACTTCCTTGAAGAAATAAATGAGTTTCTGAACTATCACTCTTAGGAGAAGACTTGAGCCTACAAAACATATCACTGATTATACCTTTTAGTTTGGGATTTAATTGGTAGTTTGAATTTAAAACTGTTTAAGTAGTCAGATACTCCTGAATATTTAAAAACTTGCTATAATAATGGATGTTACCTATTTTATGAATGAGGGCATGGCATAACTCATGGATTTTTATAAGTGCTTTTTGGATTTTAAACCTCTATCTTATTTTTATTTAGCTTGTTTTATTTTTTACCTTATTTATTTTGTGATCAAAATATAATAATTTGCATTGAATTACCTAACTTTATTTTAAACCACACATTGTATAATATACATTTATAATATTTAAATAATTGAAATCTAAACATTTTGTTTAGATCTGACAGTTGACAGCTTCTTTGTACCTTCCAACTGCCACATAGTTGATATCTAAAACATTAATAAGAAAGCAGAGTGACCACTGATAAGGATGGTTTTCTTTGTAGCTTATTCATAGCATTTAATACTTATTTGAAACATATAGTACTTTGAAATCAGAATTATCTTTTAAAATCATAATTATGATAGTCAGAAGCCATCCAATTAAATTGTGATAAGTATATACATAGAACAGACATGTAATTATGGAAAGTATAATTAAAAAAAGACGATTGTAATAAGTTCAGTACTTACAAATGTGTAACTATTCGCTAATAATTTCTAAGAAGGCTGGGACTGTTCCTCATTCATTGTATTTTTAATGCCAAATCCACAATGGGCTTTATTAATAGATTTTTAATAAATATGTTTTAGTTAACAAGTGAACGAATGTATGAAGTCATCTTACCATCAAGCCTCCCAAAACCATATTTGTAGTTTTCCCAGGTTTCATTGAAGTTTTGTGATCCATCTCTTCGATGTTGAATTAATGTCCATGAACTACCTGATTATAATGAACAAATTGTATTTTCAGTAGACTGATGCTGATAGTTGTAACAAAATACTGTTTTTTTGTTTGGTTTTAATTGGTGGCTGTATAAGGTAGTTATTAACATTGTTATGGTAATATTTTATTATTTATTGTGGGCCCAAGAAGTTAAATGAAGGGCAACCAATTAATTTGTCTTAATAAACTTACTGACAGCAGTCATTTTAGATTATTTTTTAGAAAAAAAGATGGAGAAATTGAATGAATGCGTAAGGAAATCTATGAATAAGACAAATATATGTACTAGATCTAGTACAAATATATGTACTAGATACAGATATTCAGATATACTATATATCTGTATATGTATATATATATATATATATATATATATATATACACTAGATACAGATATATATCTAGATCTAGATATATATAACTACTTGTGTTATATATATTTTATTTTATGTGTATTCAGGACAAAAATAAAAGAATTAGTCTTACAAATAGGTAGTGTGTAACCTTAGCTTACTTACTAGTGTCTACTTCTCTTAGACTGGTTTTACCTGATTTAACATCACAGTAGACATTAAAAACTTGAGAGTTGCTGGGTCTAATGGAGTAGATGCCACTTGTATGTTTGCCTTGGTTATAAATGATGGTACAATCAGCAGGAATGTCTAGAATCAACAAAATGTTATTACATAAGATGCATTAATAAAGAATGATATCTTTAGAGCTTGAGATTTTAGTTGAAATTCTATGAAATTGTGACTGTCGTCTTTAGTCTTTTTTTTAGTAATGTGTTATTGAAAAGCTATTTTATGCTAAAACATTTTTATTAGATGGCATGTTATATGAAGAATATCAAATAGTTATTACCAAACTGATTTCTTTTTGAGAAAGTGACAAAATGAGAATTTTAAGTGCCGTTTCCCCTAGACCTAGGAAAAACATAAATAAAATTCCACATATGAGATGTTAGTATAGTGCTTCATGTGCACTAGGTTGTCAACAGATTAATGTGGAAAGAGTGAACATATATAGAAGAAACTAACAAAGATCTTTTTTCCCTCTATGAATTACATTAAAAATAAATGCGTTCTGAAAATACATCATTTTGTTGAAGATTGGTTGAGAATGGAGACTTTGTCTCCCCATCTTTTTGCTTTTTGTATAGAAAGTAGAAACCTTGAAGAGAATGCCATAATCTTTCCGTGCATATTCAATAACTGTTAACATTTTACCTTATTGCTTTATAAACAAATATGTACAAATATGAATTTTACTGTGCTATTTGAACATCATTTGCAAACATCATGACCTTTAATCCCTTAGATACTTTGGCATGCATCTCTTAAACTCTCTTAAACATGAGATTATTCTCTTACATAACTGTAATACCATTATTCCATCTAAGAAAATTAATGATTATTACCTAATAGCAAGTCTATATTCGTATTTCTCTGATTGTCTTAATTGAGAATGTTTTAGTGGGTTTAAAAAAATCACTAAGATCCGATTTAGGTTAACAATCATTTGTTGAATTTATCTCTTTACTCTCTTTTAGTCTAGAACAGGCCCTGAGAATAGGGATTTTTGATGGAAATGTCAAAGATAGAAGAAAAATTTGATGATAATAGCTTCAAGACAGAAACCCAGCAAATTATCTTACCGTCATGTTCTACAATTTTTGTTTCATTCAAGTGAAAAGAGGGAGTAGTTCTTGGTGCTCTTGGTTTAGAAGAAAGAGAATTTTCTGTGGATTCTTTAATACCAGTTCTTCTTAACTGTAAGAATACAAATCTACTTTTAAAAATTTGAATATTTAATTAGGGGAAATCTGAGTTCATAATATGTTATTGTTTTCAATGGTAAGAGGGATCAATAATGCTATACATATTATACAGACTTCCTGTTCTCAAAGTATTTAATCAGGCACATTATTTAATGAGTTAAAAAAATAGAGAAAGATACCAAGGCAAAAAACAGAAATTGATCAAAAAACAGCCAGACCAAAGGCAGAGACTTTGTTTAAAGTGTTTTAATATGTTCTATTTATTTATATGAATGTAATATATATTCTATTCAGTGACAGAGGCAGATTTCAAATTTCATAATTCTCAGTTGTAGGTCTTAAGATATAATAATAATTTGAACAAGGTTGCTTTCTTGATAGTTTTTGACATGTAAATGTATTTGTAGAGGTAGCAAATTGACTGGTTTATTTGTTTGCTTTTCATATCTTCAATATTTCATTGTCTGTTGTGCTGGATTTGCAATCTGTTGACTGATAGTTTGTGTTATTGAGAAAAGCAGAATATATAATATCTTGTGTTAATAGTGTTAGTTTTTTGATGTCAGCATAAATGGCATTTCTTAGGATATAATTCATTAGGCTCTCTTGTAAAGTTCACTTATTGTATATTAGTCTTTTCTACTAAGTGACTGTGATCTTAGAGTAACTTAACTTTAGAGTTTGGTTTGTAAATTTAAATTTGAGTAAGTTGTGTCAGATGATCTAAGGCTTCTTCCAACATAGAAATTTATTGTTTTAAAGTCTTCATACATTTTATTACTAGACAAGATGTATACCATTTTATAATAGTGACATTTTGCTTTTGTAAGTAAGTTCATTTACTCATAGTAAAATATGTAGGAAAAAAGAGAAAAATAACATACAGTAAGAAGGAAATTATGGAAATTAAAACTAGTTGGGAAAAACCCCTTTTTGGACAATTAGCAAAAATACCCTACTAAATAATGATTGATAAAATAGCAAAAGTAACTTACTAAAATTATGAGTCATAAAATTACTAAAACATTATGTACGTGTTTAGTGGAAATTATAATATTTGTTTTATAGTCCTTGGCATCTATTTTTTTAACCAGTTTCTTCAAGTCTGTATTATTTTTTAAATTCCTGAATGGCAAAAAAAAAAAAAATAAATAAATTCCTGAATGGCTGTTTAATAGTATTATTACTAATTAATATTTTTGAACTATGGTACTATATTTGGAATGCTTAGATTTTGGCATGGCTTTATTCCAAACAGGTATCTCCCTTCCTCACCTAGCCAGTTATTTATATTGTAGATTAAATTATACTGTTGGGTATTAAACTTTAATTATTAGGCATGTAGCTTCTAATAATTATAATAATATTAACCACAGCAAGTTTTTATTGACTTGTTTGTACTAAATGTGACATTACCTTTATTAACTCAGCATGTATTTATTAAGTGTTTATGTATCAGACAGTGTTCTATATTTTGGGGTCTATAGCAATTTAAAAAAAATGGACAGAAACTTCTGTACATACGGATCTTACATTCTAGTTCAGGGACAGACAGAATAAATAACTAAATATATACATTATATTAAATAAAGGTAAGTGTTAAGAGAAAATAGAGAGTAATGAAAGAGGTAGCAGGTTTCAAGCATGGGTGTAAGGGGATTGTAATTTCTACTTAAATTATCTGGGAAGGATTCTTTGAGAATTTTGTATTTGAGAAAGACCTAAAGGGAATAGGAGTGGGCCATGCCAATACCAAGATGAAGAGCATTCCAGACAGAGAGCAACATAGGCAAAAGCCCTGAGATAGCAACTTGTTTGATGTGTTTGAGTAGCAGTAAAAAGGCTAGTATCACTCTAGTAGAGGAAATGAAGTCGGTGAGATGACGAAGAATCGTCCGAGTCTTTTTGGGCCACTGTGAGTGAAATGTGAAGCCGTTGTGGGGTTTCAAACAGAGAGACATAGTGTAATTTAAATTTTAAATGAATCTCTTTGGCTGCTATATTGAGGATATACTTTGCATGAATTCTTTCTTTTTTCTTACAGCCATCCTATAAGACAGGTTCTCTTATTGTGTACCTAGAGTACGTGAAGAAACTGAGAGAGGGGTTAAATAATTTATTCAAGGTCACACAAAAATGTTAGAACCAGGATTCAAATCCAGATAGTTGACTAGCTTCCGAGGCTGCAAACTTAACAGTCATGCTGATGTGATTCTTTTATTCATTATCCAGCTATAATTATTGTAAATAATTTTAGGGTCCATATTTTCATAAACCTTATTTTTATGTTAAAGATTGGACATACTATTAAGATATTGACTTACCTGATTTTCTATTTCTTTTATTTGACTTTGCTGTTGGTTTAATTGTCTGTATTGTTCTTCCACAATCTGAAGAAGGTCTTTAATGCTATTATCTTGCTGTTCTACCAAAGTCTGGATATAGATTGTAGGTTGGTTAGAGATTTCTTTCTTTCCTGTTAAACTAGACTTTTTAATTTCCTATAACACTAATTTTTTAAAATAATAGTGTATTAGAAAAATGAATACTGCCAAACCTTTTCCCCTTGCATGCTTCTTTCACATAGTACATACTTCTGTTTCTGTTTTTTATTTAAACTGTACTATCTCTAAAATCTGATTTCCTGAACTTTAAACTTCTTCAATTACATGGGAAAACCCCCCCAGCATTTTAGTGTTTTCCATTTACTGTATTACTTTTATACATTTTAAAGATAAAAGAGTTACACAAGTTATATTCCTTTAGCTTTTTACTTGCCTCCAGTAATTCGCAATATTGTAATAGTTTAGTGTTCTAAATTTCATTGCTTAACTGACTTGTAATTTTCATCTGAAATGCAGAGTTCAATTATTTTCATAAATAATGTTATGGAAACAAAAACCAGCTTGAAATTATAGTGAGAAAATTTATTTCCTGGAGGCTTTTTTTTTTAATGAGAAAAATATAGTGTTTCAGCAGTTCAACTAAATATTTCAAGTAGCATGTCTTAAAATGTTTTTTTGAAAAGATCCACATTGAAAGAATAATCATGCTCTTTAGTTTCTACTTACTTTAAGTGAAGTTACTTCCAGGTGTTCCTGAATTTGAGGTTGATTTTTAATTAAATTGGTTAATTGGTCCTCCAGGTATCTCACTTTCTGTTGCAGTAGAATTTTCTCTTCAAGAAGACTTTCAAGTTTTGAGTCGAGTTCAAGTGACATGTTCTTTACTTCTTCATTTTTGACTTGCAGTTTGGATGTTGCTCTTCTAAGTTCCTTTTCTTCTTCTTTGATTTCATTGGTTTGCAGTGATAAGTCATAAAAGGACTGATCAAATATGTTGAGTTTTTGAAATATGTCATTAATTTGGCCCTTAGTCTTATGAACAAAGTCTTTAAGACCATGTCCTAACTGAAGTAGGCCATTGGCTAAAATTTTTACATCATCTAACATAGCAAATCTTGATTTTGGCTCTGGAGATATAGAATGAAGTGATGTATCATCTTGGTCAGTTCTGGAAGAAATAACTAGAGGAGCAATAAAAAGAAAGAGCTTGATAGTGTACATTTTTATCCTAATTATTCACTTTCAAGCGATTTGGAATTTGTTTTTTTCCTGGGAGCATACCAAGAGTTCTGAACTCTATATAACACTATTTGCCACAGACACAGTAAGGTTGGCAGGTCAATATAGTTAATCGTTAAGCTGTGTAAACTTGTATGAGTGTAACCTTCCAGACTGAGTTAGATCAATGCTAAAATGAAATCAAAGAAATGAGCAACAACCTTAATTGATTATTTAAAATGGTTGTTGTATTTAATTTTGCTGTATTGTAAACTGCATTTTTAGTGTTAGGAGATCTACCTATTTTTAAAAGCTCATTTTAATTTGTCATGATTTTTAAAGAGATTTACAAGTAAATATCAACTCTTTTGACAGATACATTCATCATTAAAGCTGAGGAAAAATTAATGAATCAAGTATGCATTTCCCAAATTGTAGTTTAGTTTTTTTTGAAACAGTGATGATCCCCAAAAATGTGTTCTCTGTGAAGCCTTCCTCCACATCTGCAGGTGATGTTAATGCTGTATTCCTGTGCTACTCCATATGAGCTAATGTATGATTATTTATTCCTTATTATTTGTCACTATAATTATTTGTTTGTATATTTTTGTTGCTTCAGATGATCTATCTAAACCGTGTTTGTATATAATCACAAAATCCCATATCTTAAAAGGTATTTCATCCTTTTTCTCTGTTATATTCTATGTCTCTGTGTTCTAGCCTCTTTCCCCTGTACCCACTAGAAGACCAATAGATTATGTGGTTCCAGTGTCAAGAACTATTTGCCCATTATAAATTTTTCTGTAGTTTGTGAATTTGGGAACAATATTCATGATATAAATTTAACAAAACCTTTCTTTTGATCATTTAGCATTAAGGGCTTTTGGATAGAATGTTTACAGTAGATGTAGTAATCTATAGTGGTTAAGAGTTTGGTTCTGGAGAGAGACTAGCTGAATTGGAATCCTGATTCTGCCGTTCTTTAGTTCTGTGAAATTAGCTTTTCTGTACCTCTTTTTTATTGTCTATCAATTGAGGATGGTATCTACTTTATTGAGTTTAAAAATTAATATTTTAAAGCACTTAGAGCAATATCTAGTGTTTAGTAAATACAACGTGGTATTATGTACTAGCTTTTCTTTTGTAATTAGTAAGTCAATGCATTTATGTAGTAGTACGGTAATATTTTATTGATAAATATTATCTAATCTTATGTTAAGATGACATAAGTTGGGAAGTTTTTCTAGAATCTAGGTTTTCTTACTTTGGTCTCTTGAACCTTGGTAAGTATAAGGAATTATTTCTTTTGTTTAGCTTGTATATACTTTTTCTAAGTGTCCAATATAGAACAATATAAGTATTTCTGTTTGTAAGAGAAATAAAGAATGCAAGTAAATAAAAGTATACAAATACTTCCAGTAGTGAAAAAGAAAAGCAAAACATTTTCCCTTCTTCTTCATTTTCATTTTACCTTTACCACCAGGTGCATGTTATGAAATTATAGAAGTGTATGTTGAACTAGTGAAAAAATTTGAATTTTCTCCCCCTTTTAAAAGGGATATGTTAGTGTTGTGATCATTGGTCATGAAGGGCATGTTTTGAAACTTCTCTTAATTGAACTGTCTCCTTTTCTTGCTTGAAACTATTGACCCTGATATTTCATCCACCTTCTAGTTGAGGGGCAATTGAGATGGGCCAACTTCTTGTCTCTGCTGTACTATAAGCTGTTTATTTATAAAGCTGTAAGATCGGTATCTGTTTTTAATTTATATTCCATAGAACACTTCAGTAAATTCCTTACGTGGTGGAGGAGCAATAAATTTTTATTGAATGAGTAAGATAATGATAAGTCTTAACATGGGAGTTTTTCAAATAAAAATTTGCATGTAATCGATACTCCTTTTTAGTATTGGAGGTTCTTTATAATGAAAAGAATTTGAAAAGTAGTCCCTTCCAGTGCATGAAAGTAACTGGATAATAATACCAAAGAAAAGCTGTGTGTAGGTTTCTTTTTATTTTAGTTAATGTGCTGGAATATTAACACTTTCTGTTGAAGTTACATGCTGTAACACCTCACATATAATGCTAAGAGAGATTAGAGGCACTAGTTGCATATTCTTGGTTTAAAATATTGTCTTTGGGTAGAAATATCTGGGTGATTTTTTTCTGAAAATAGTTTGACATGTTATGGAATATAATTTAAATAGTCTAATTACAAGCTGTGGAAGAGTGTCAACATGAGAAATGTAATGTGTTTAAACAGAACTCTGACCAGATATAATTAGTAACGTTATAAAAACTTAAAACTTTTATGCCAAAGAAGAGAAGAAACTAAGCAAAATTAAGACCTAATTGAAGGATTCCCAGTTTCTGCGAACTAATACTCAAAACTTCTTATCTGCATGGAATTTTAGGACGTTTAGGACCTTTGTTTAAAAAGTGAAGCAAAGTCCTTTATCCTCTCCCAGGTTGTGCAATCTTATGGGGATTTGACTTCCAAATAAAACACAAGGCATTTTGGATCTTGTATCCCTATTAGTTTGAATATAGTATGTCCCTACTAATTTTTTCCTTTTTAACTGTGGTCATTTGTTTTTGAATTAATATATTTGGTAGAAAGACTAAAAGTAACTGAGAAAAATATTTATAAATAGAAATATTTATATGAACTAATGAAAAAGTAATACATTAGCTTCCTTTTCCTCTGTTTGTCTAGAACAGTACTGGCCAATGGAAATACAATGTGAGTTATGTATGTAAAAAACTGAAAAGAGATGAGTGAAATTAATTTTAACATATGTTTTATTTATCTGATATATCAAAAATTACCATTTTAACATACCAGTATGAAAATATTAATTAGGTATTTTATAGTCATTTTTCATACTGTCTTCCAAATCTAGTATGTATTTCATACATACTGACATTTCAGGATATGTCAGTTAGACCAGGTACACATAAAGTACTCTGTAGTCTCCAGGCAAGAATACTGGGGTGGGTAGCCATTCCTTTCTCTAGGGGATCTTCCTGATGAATCAAACCCGGTCTCCTGCAACACAGGCAGAATTCTTTACTGTCTGCGTCACCAGGGAAGCCCTGTATTCTCACTAGACTGTATTATTGGACAACACAGGTCCAGAAGGTGAGTGACCTTCGAAGGAATCATTTTATTTGCCTTAGCTTTTTTTCCCATGTCCATTAACTTGGCATTAATAAATGTTTAATTTTTATACTGAAAGTACTTAATGTGGAAACCCAGATATTTGAAAATCTTTAAGAAATAAAAATCCTCACTCTTCACTATTAAGATTTTGGGGTCTATCATACCAGTTCCCTTGGATAACTAGCTAAATGTAATTTTTATTTAACACAAATGAGAGTGTGTTATATATAGCTCATGTTTTTTATATATGTACATTGATTTAAGACTTTTAACATTTTAAAATTTATTTTCATATGAGTGCCTGTGTATTTACCATATCCTTCTAAGTGGCTGCACAGTCTTTTATTATATAGATGTGCCTTAATTTAATCATCTCCCTATTAATGATACTTTAAGTTGCTTGTAATTTTCTGATTATAAACAATATGCATAGAAAATATATTTATATTTGTATATAAATATTTTCATATGATAAGTTCATAGATGTTAACTTTCAAAGTAGATTTCTCTTCGCAGATTATCCTAAAAGGATTGTGCCAGTTTATATCCCTACTGAAAATTTATGAGGGTTTCTTTTTTCTCATTAATTTTTACCAATATTTTGAATGAGCAAGACAAAAAATATTGATAAACCTGGTAGGCAAATATATCCAGTTGATTTTGCTGTCTCTCTGCCTTGCTCTTCTTGTGAATTACCTGAGTATTGTCTAAGTCTCCCTCTCCCATGTTTGTTCGTCTCTTCCTGACTGATTTTAGGAATTATTTACACTTGATGGACATTAACTCTCTGTCATCTACGTAACACCAGTGTTATTCCAGTTTGTCCTTTGTCTTCTGCTTGTGTTTTTGGTATCCCCTGCTCTGTAGAGGCTTTAAAATTTGTTTTTTGTGATTTTTTGTGGTTCATGCTCAGAAATGTCTTCCTTACCTATAAAATATGGTTTCTTTAATGCTTTTCTGTTAGTTTTATTTTTATTATTTAAAACTTGGATTTAATCTAGAATTTATTTTGAGAAAGTGGTGAAATATGAAATCAGCCTTAAAAAAGGCTAGTCAGGTATCTCAACAACTCAGCACTTTTTATTGATCTACCTTCTCTCTGCTAACTTAAAATTCCTCTGAAGGAGTATTACAAATGCAGGGTAAAGACTTACTAGGTTTATGTGGAACTTTATTAGTGGAGTTAGTAGTCAAAATAATGAAAAAGAATCTGGTCTAAATGCATGCATTTCACCTTCAGAGACAAATTGAATTTAAAATTGTATTGCTTGTATTAGAAATTAAGCATAGCTTAGTGTTTAGTTAATTCCCATTTCACTTGAAAATCCAAACTCCAAAAGAGTTAAGTAACTAAATATTTATGTGAGTTCTGTAGTATTCATTCATTCAATCAATGATTCATTTATAGGAGAAACTATCCTAGGCATTGGAAATAGAGCAACTAACTAGATAGTTAAGGTCCTTGCACTCATGGAGTTTGTACTTAAGTAAAGGAGGTATATAAACAAGAAAAGTTAGGGTCATTTTAAACAGATTATTTGAGTTGTGAATGGAATAACAAAGTGATATGATGTTTGAGAGGGAAAGTGAGCCTTTCTAAAACTTGAAAGATGGAAAGGGACTGGTTATGTCCACATCCACAAAGCTAAAACGGTAATAATCCTAATGCAGAAATTGAGGGGTGGGAGGAAAAAGCATGATGTGGTTTGCTGTTCTGTGCCTGTCTATCTTACTTGCAAATTTCTCATTGAAATTTGTGGGCAGATTCTTTAGTTTTTAAGTCCCCTTGTGGGCCCCCAGTGACATTCAGTGTTCATAACATTTATCGTTCTGCAGTATAATTATTTGCCTGTTCGATTCTCCCTCTAGATATGAGTTCTATGAAGTCAAGAACTTTGCCTTTTATCTCCCTTATTTT